GCCCCGCGTGTCTCGGCGGGCACCGCACTCCCTCTCAGACCCGACTCTCCCCTCCGCCTCGCGCCGTCATACATGTAAAGGGCCAGTCTCGGGGCGTCTACCTGCGTGTTCAGTCCTGATTCTCCGTGAAATGTCACCCGAGAGCGGTGAAGGACACGAACCCAGCGTGTCCCCGAGTCACGCGGGCCCTGCAGCACCGTCCCTCCCCACGCTATCCAGGCTGAGATCCCGCAGGCGCTCGCTTTGCGAGGTTAATGATTGCATGATGTCTTCTGGGGCTGGCTTTGCACACAAACAGGTTTTAATTTAAACGATAAAGCGCTACTCCGGTCGCAAAGCTACTCGGCCGACGTTTCATTTCAGGTCGCAGCTGCGGCAGGTCGGCGAGCTCGTCCCAGGTCAGGGTCCCCGAGGTCCCCGCGCTGCTTCAGAGCAGAGGCGGGAGCCAGGGAGCGGCCAGCGGCTTCAGAGCAGAGGTGGGAGCCAGGGAGCGGCCAGCCCCAGCCCGTGACCCGAGAGCTCAAGTTCAACGCCCGCAGTGCTCAGCCGCCCGTAAGCGCTGCACCGAGGCCACGCAGGGAGTCGCGAGAAAACTTGCTCCGACTCGAAATGGATTTTGTAAGGCTGAAGTAAATAAAGAGATGAGCAGCTGTGGCACAGATCTGGAGGAAAAAATAGTTTAACAATTTTCCCCGCGTTGCTGCTAAATTTTTTCATTATCGTAACTGGCTTTTTTTTTTTTAAAGGGATAGGGGAAACTGAAAGCTCTTCTGTTTAGCTATTAGAAGTCCACGCAAGTTAAAAGGTAACAACGGAACGCAGTGGGCATGGGGGAAGGTTTGGAGGGAATACAAATCGATTGTTTTTCTCTTCGTTTGCGTTCTCCGTTTGTCCTGCACGACAGGACTTTTTTTTTTTTTTTCTGCAGCAAACACTAACGAGAGAAACAACTTCCTAAAACTACAGTTACCAACGGCAAATTCTGGCGAGGGAAGTGATGAAAAAACTGGGGTTTTTTTCCTGGGAGAGACCAGGCGAAGTACAGACAGCAAATACTAAAAGCCTGTGCTAAAAGTTTGAACGGAGTCCTAACTGTGTTAAATCATGGCAAATGTATTTGAGGAAATGAGATAATTTCAGGGTGGGGAAAAAAAAAAAAAAGAGTAGCTCGTGTGTTACGCAGATTCCCGTGCAATGTGTCAATGGAAAATGCAATGCGGCTCCGCGGGGCGCTGGGCACCCGCGGAGCCGCTGCCGGGGGAAGGCAAGGGCTGTCCCGCAGGCAGACGCGCG